TATCATATCTGCCACTATCCAGGCAGATAGTTTTTAGTCAGACTTGGGTATGCTGAAATGTCATGCAAGTTCCAAAGACACATTTAATATGTACTGGTAAAGAATGTCTCAAATATTTATGACCCTATTAAATCCTACAGTATTAATTCTGTAATTATTTTAAACCTATGTCAGACAAGATGGATGCTCTGGATGACCCACTTTGCACACTAGCCATTAATCTTTTGTAGGTGTCGAAACTCCTTTCTGGTTCCACTCTGCTAATTCTGCGTCACACCCTGCTTTTTTTATTTCAGACGTGTGTCTCCTATGAAAAAATCCATTTAGGGATGGAATGCGTAAAAGGGAGAGCCTTATGTGTTTCACTCAGGTAAATGACTAAGCAGCAAAAGAGATTTTCGATACCTCCCTAGAAACAAATATTTTATTCATTTTGAAGGCATATTTAGATGTGGAGGGTGCTAAATATGTATGTAAAATAGGACAGTGATTTAGGGCATAATTAAAGATTGTGTTTTAAATGGGGTTCTTTTTACAGCAAATTTAGAATTCCGAACACATATGAACATACCAGAATTTTCTTTATCTATTGTTAAAGAGTATAGTCTTTTCATTTATTTTTAGATAGTGAGTGATGGCACTGAGCCAATAAGAGTTCCTTATAGTGGCTAATCTACAAACATTTACATTTAATGCAAACAAAAATATGAAGGGGCAAGAATGTAAACATGTAAAAGTAATATAAACATTTCTAAAGTAAAGCTCTCCCATAATAACTCAGAAATGTGATAAGTGCATAATCAGATTCTGCATTTTTTAATGGGAGGCCATAGTTCTATTTTAATTTTAAATTGCACTGACTGTTATTGCTGAAAATAACAGCAATTGTGGCAAATAATGAGGCTACCCCCTGCACTGCAAGGGTTAAGTGCTCGTTTTGGTCTAGGGATGAAAATAAAGAAGGTATACTCACTTCATCTCCGGTCCTGTCTGGCTGCTTGACCAGTCCCCGTGGCCTCTTCTCCCCTGGCCCCCCCGTGGCCCTTAGACTCTGGCGTTCTAAGGTCCATTGAAGAATCATCACATCTAATGCAAGTCCATAAAAACGTGAGGATGCTCAGGGATTTACCATTTCCGGAGCGGAGGGGGAGGGGGGGAGGCGGATCAGTTGAGGGTATCTTCTTTATTTTTGTTCCCAGAACAAAACGAGCACTTAACCCTTGCAGGTTGGGGGTAGCCCCACTGCATAGGTTTGTTTGAATACATCCTGTGTTTCTCATTTCACAATACAGGAAGATATTTTTTTTTATGTCAGTACATGATACAGCAAGTTCTAGTGTGAAATGGGAAGAGTGACACAAGAAGTACTCAGCTTGTGGATACATAAAGCATGGATAGAGCAGAAGAAAGTAAAGCTAGCGATGTAATAAATGATGAGCTTATTGCTTTCTGGAATGAATTATGGGAACTACAGATATTAGATACAAAAACGCATGTAGAGGCAAAGCTGTGTAGACACGTGCACACACATACGCTATTTCTTTTCCAGAGAATATCTGCTGGGCTTCATCTGTGTTAAAAATTGATGTCTGCATGCATGAGGCCTATTACTGACCAGAGGAGAATTATGTATTTTTTTGGCAAAAGTGGACTTGAATGTTGAATATTCGTTTAATACATTTGGTTTACCAAATAGTGAAAACAGGCATTACAGCAACCACAAGGAATTTATGTTTTGTTCTAAATGGATGATAATTGAAAATCGATTATGGGTTACTGTATATGAGCGCAACTCACTTATTAAGTAAACTTGATATACCTTTCAAATCTTCAAAGGCCCACTCATACCTACTATGCATCTTAACACCAGTACATGGTACATGAACGTACACAGATTGGCCATTGTTTTAAATGTTTGTAGTTCATAATCTGTGTGTTATAGGACCTATTGATGACAATGGCATCACATATAAAAACTTGGTTGTTAACCCATGTAAAAATGCATGGAAATGGACACAAAACAATGTGAATCCAGCCTGAGAAATAGTGATTGTTCCGAAGCTTATATTAAACTATAAAATGGTAGTAATCAGAGAAATTCAGTTCTTATCCAATTATAAAACCGTCAATTAGTTTTACTTCTCATAGTCACAGAACCTATACTGAGAATCTGCTCAAAATAGAATCAATAAACAGCTACTGTATTGATTAACAGACAAGTGCAGTTTACAATTAAAATTTGTATTTACCGCATTCTACAGATCTACATTAATAATTTATTTTCAAGAGAGGGAAAAAAAGACAAATAGCTTTGTAAGTGAAGACTTTCACTGTATTCACCATCAGAAAAAGGATCTGCTTTGACTGGATAAAATTGTGTTAGAAACAAGAATGACCTAACATTATCTTGCTAATTAAACTAATGTATTACATTAAAAAGCAACTCAATACAAAACATAAAATTGAGTAACATACTAGGTGACTAACTATTCATCATGTACTGCATTTCATTGCTGGTTGACATGTTTGGTAAAAAATACAAACAACATTGCATGCATTGCAAGTTTCTGACTTTAAATTGAAACATATATAAATGAGTCACATATATGAGCCTTCAAACAAATAAGGCATAGAAAATATCTACACAAAGACAAAAAAGTAATATAGACAAAAAAGGTCCCAGGAAAAAACAAAAGCAGATAATGGTGATTGTGCAAAACAAATTCCTCATATGATTCACAGCCAATCTGCATGTGACTCTCAGGTAAGGATAATCACACAATGCAGGCAGACCTTCACCTCCACCAAGTGAGTGATGACATCAAGTGAGTGCTCACCTGGGGAGGTAGACCCACAGAGCTAGGTCAAATGCGCGTTTTCCCTTCTTAATGGGGGAGGGAAGCCCATGCACAGAAAAGGCGATAAGGTCTCCTCAGATCACAGGTACCAGTATAAATCCAGGTGGAAAGAGAAAAAGGACAAGGACATAGTGCGTAACGTCCAATAAAATGCAATTTATTAAATAAAAAATGCGTACTCACAATGGTGTAAAAAGTACAGGCATTGGGTATTGCTGGATCAGACCAGCAGGGCAAATGGCAGCAAAGCGATAAAAAAAAACCTGTTCGTCCAGCTCAGTGCAGTGACATCAGAAGCTCTGCCCAGGGAAAAAGCGCATTTGACCTAGCTCCGTGGGTCTACCTCCCCAGGTGAGCACTCACTTGATGTCATCACTCACTTGGTGGAGGTGAAGGTCTGCCTCCATTGTGTGATTATCCTTACCTGAAAGTTACATGCAGATTGGCTGCAAATCATCTGAGGAATTTGTTTTGCACAATCACCATTATTTGCTTTTTTGTCTTTTTGTATTATAGATATTTTCTATGCCTCATTTGTTTGAAGGCTCATATATGTGACTCATTTATATATGTTTCAATTTATTCGATATGTATGATTATTAGCTCGGCACAATATTGTTTTTCACATTTCTCTATAAAAGCTTTTTGTTTGTGGTGAGGTAGTGGTGAGGGGTTAGAATCCCATATAAAGTTTTTTACTGCTGCCTGGGTTCCTGCTGGGGAGATATACCCTCTATTTGTCCTGATGACCACTGTCACTGGAACAGAAGATGAGGGGGGAATTCCAGTTGAGAAGCCTATTCGGGTAACAAGTAACAACTATCTTTTAGGTAATTTCCCCTCAATTTGTAAAGAAGTCCACTTAGTTGTCCTTGCTGTGTTTCTTGGAAAGGAAGAAAAAGAAAATCTTCTCAGCCACAAACAGACAAAAAAAAGTTCTAACCCTGCTCTGGCTGGAGTATCACTTTAACAGAAAACAAACTTGGCTGTGATAATGTCTTGCATCTGTGCGTTGTAGACAAACTAGATGTTAAACATAATGGCATTTGATCCAATACATTTGATTACTTTAGCATTCACAAAATGCTTTGATTACAAATATGCAATAGCCAGCTTGGAATTAGATACTGGGAACAGTGGTAGTTCTGCAGCTGAAGCACCCTAATGACCCAAGATTATATACAATTATATACAGTATGTTTGCTGGCATTTTTTCCCAAATGGAGGCCTCCTTTGAATAAAGCACTGCAGACTCTGTTCCCCACAAAGGGGCTGATGATACCAAAGAAGTAGAGAATGTTCATTTAGAAAACTGAATGTTCACTCAGCAAATAGAATGTTCGCTTAGGGGTCTATTCACGAAGCTGCCGAAGGATCTGGCCATAGCTTCGGCCGATCCTTCGGCTAGCTTCGGCCCCAGGACCCCTTCGGCTCAGTATTCACAATAGCCCCTTCAGCTCCCGATCATGGCTGAGCGGTGCTGAAAGCCGAAGCTGGCTGAGCGGCCGGCCGACAGCCTGCTTCTGACAGCTGGGCGGAGCCAACCGTGATCTTACGGCTGGCTCCGGCCACTTGCAGTGAGATCAGCGTACCTGGTTACATGCTAACCAGGGACACTGATCTCCAAACAGCTAACTCTCCCTGGCGTCCCGGGAAGCACCGCTGTGTCCTTTTTTTTCTTTATTCTGACACGGTCTATGTCAGAATAGAAAAAAAAAAGAAATTTTCCCATGCTGAGCATGTTCGGCCGACCCGAAGCCACACGAAGCAAGCCGATGTATGGCTGATTTCAGCGATGTACGGCTGAAATTAGCCATACCAGCCTGAAGTGAATAGCCGAACAGTGTTCGGCTCACTTCACTTCAGATTCGTCATTCACTCGGCTGCCCTCGGCAGCTTCGTGAATAGATCCCTTAGTTTAGAAAATTAAGTGAAGCTGTGTACTCATCCAATCAAATGCCAGGCAACAACATTTTTTTAAATTTCCTTTACACATGATTAGGCATTTAAAATATAGATAGGTGAATATTCACTTTACTAAGTAAACATGTTCTACTCCTTTAGAAAATCAACCACAGTATGTTGTGTTTATAATAATAATCTTGTCTGCCCCATATTTGTAGATGCCATATTGAAGCCTACCTGTTGTTGGTCTTGTGCATGCTGAAGTCTTAGGGTGATATTCACAGCAACATGCCAAAACTGTCTGGTTTCCTCATCATGGCCATACACCATGAACTCTCTCTCATCTGGTGAAATGTCAAAAGTTCTTGCAGCAAATATCACCCCGTCATCATCGATCCGGAAATCTGTAGGGTTACTGGTCTCATAATGTATCCGTCTTTGTTCACCGCAATCTGTAAACTTCACTGGAGAAGAAAAGAACAAGAAAAGTGTCAGCACTGGAGGCACTTACAGAAACAAGAAAAACAATCACCCAATCAATGGTGGAGCAAGAGGGAAATACTCTGCTGGAATATAGAAGACACAAATTGTTCACAGAAAACCAAACAAAAACAATAATGATGGCTTAAAGATTACGTTTGTCAAAAGAATCATTGCCTTGGAAAATACATTTGGAAACCACAAGTGGATATAAAGATTGTCAACCACTGCACATTGGTGATCCTAGGCCACATACAAACTGCTGTGCTGAAAGTTTTAAGGAGTCTTATATCACTTGTGGTTGTAAGGTGCTTGTTTTGTGTTTTATGAAAGTTGTATAATACACTTAGTGCAGTGATATTGTGAGCTGACTCTACTGTTTATAGAGGTATTCTCAGCTATCCTTCATCAAACCGTATTAGAGAGATTTTCAGCAGTGTAGTGTGTATGCTAAAACTGTACTATAAGGCAATAAAATATTAAAATAAGAAGCATGGTGAAAAATAAATATAAATATATATATTTCAGCTGTATACAGGTGAAACTCGAATAATTAGAATATCGTGCAAAATAATTGCAGTAAGTGCTGCAAAAGGGGCCCAAACCAAGTACATATGCATGCTTGTACTTTTCAGAGGTCCGATATTGTTCTATGTACAATCCTTGTTTTATTGATTGCATGTAATAATCTACTTTTTTGAGGTTGTGGATTTGGGGTTCTTGGGGTTTTCATGAGCTGTAAGCCATAATCATCACAATTATGACAAATCACGGCTTGAATTATCTTGCTTTGCATGTAATGAGTCTATCTCATATATTAGTTTCACCTTTTAAGTTGCATTAGTGAAATAAATGAACTTTACACGATATTCTAATTATTCGAGTTTCACCTGTATATATATATATATTACAGGCATTTATATATCACTGACAATTTACACAGTGTACATTCACATCAGTCTCTGCGCTAAAGGATCTTACAATCTAAGGTCTCAGCTCACATGCATGAGGGTCAATTTAGATAGGAGCCAATTTACCTTCTAACATGTCTTTGGAGTGTGGGAGGAAACCCACACAAGCACAGGGAGAACATGGAAACTCCTTGCAGATAGTGACCTGGCCAGTATTCAAACCAGGGACCCCCAGTGCTGCAAGGCAGAAGTGCTAACCACTACACCACTTTGCTCTACTCTAATGAACTGAACTGTGGAGATATAGATAGGGAGTCCTGGGCCTAGGGCAATACAACCATTGGGGGCAACGCCAATTGGCCTAGCAAAAATCTTAACCAAGATTCTGAACAGTGGCATAAATATAGCCAAAGCAGCCCATGTAGCTGCCATGGAGCCTGGAGCCATTACAAAAAATATTAAGCCAAATCAAGCATACAAGGCGTGTGTCCATATGAAGATAACATATATATAGTACTTTGTCGTTAAGGATGCAAAGGTTGCAGTAGATGACAACCCTAATAACCTGTGAAGTTTCCAGTCTAGAAGAGCTGACATCGGATTCACAGGAGGAGTCTTTGATATCATGGTGCTGCTAGTCACAGCTTTCCCTTCCCATCCTCCCCCAAGAAATGTATTGCCTTCAGGACTTTTGGTCATTCCTGCCAACACTCTCAAATTAACCTTGTATGCCTAAAACATTTTTTACTGAAGCTGTAAAAAAAACAGAGTCTCCTCAGCTAAAAAACTGATATGACAGCTGAGGTTTATAGTTCTGCAAAAAAAGGTCACAGTTTAGAGCAGTTTGCATTAAGATATTAAGACTGTGAGCAGACACACTAACAATTATGTAACACTATAAAAATAACATTATGATTCCAAATATTATTGGCACCACAACTCTGTTACACTATTATGCCAAGCGACACAGGTGCAGAGAGAGGAACATCATGCCTCTGGTTGTGGCCTAAAATGTTTAATTACCTCATGCATCTCTTTTGGTAATACCCTGTTCAGAGGACATTGTTAAAGTAAAATGAGTGCCCCTGTTGCATCTTGACATTTCATCATGCCATGGACTGCCACACAAAGATCTAGCCTTGATTTGAGTCGAGTAGCTTGGTCATTTCTAACACCTGGCTATCACTTTGGGTTACTTCTAATTATTTCTCATACATGCAGGGATTGGTTTGTTAATAATTGTAGCTATGTGAAAAAAAGTGCAGCTATTGCACTGCATAGATAGCAATGCACATTGTTATTAGTTGGTTGTGCTCATGCTGAAAATTTATTTAACCAAAACTGTTCCCTATAAAATATTCAAAATGTTTTCCAATTGTTGTCTCAAATATATAATTCCCTGGAAGGTAAAATACACTCTGATGAGCATTTAAGAGAATCTAAAACTTTAATATATAAATGTGTCCTTTGGAAATGCTGAAGTTTGCAGTATTAAAGAATTTTAGCTGATCTCTCATAGGAAATAGACATTTTAATGGAATTAGGAACAGTTGTGGAGAGAGCAAAAGTATTATCAACAAACAAAATGACTTCAGTATAAACAACTCTGGCTTGTTTATGAGCAAAAGGACACTTACCCGAATGGCCTCCTTCGAAATATTACCACTACTTATCATTTAGTATATAAAGAGCAAGCTATTGTGTATTTCAGACAGCCCCTTACAGAGAATAATTGAGAAAAGAACCATTTCACAGAGAAACAAGACTTCCACTCATATACGGAGCCTTAGTGACTGTCTTTATTTTATCCGGCTGAGGGGGAAAAAATCTGTATCCAGTACTCAATGTACGATACATCCTCATAAAGAAACATTGAAATTGAAGAGACAGTTTAAAGTGTCACACTGCAGTTAGTGACTTCCATTCCATTAACAAAGTGACCTTACATGATGACCCCATTTGTCAAGGGCATGTTTTGAAATTCAGCAGCTGGGTAAGGAAACATATGGAATACCATGAATTAACCTTTAATGCCTAAAGCCAGAAGGGATATGCAAGTCTCTTTCAAATATTACATGCCGCACAAGATGAAATACTGAAACAGATAACTTCCTGGCCCATGGTCATTAAAATCAGATCCTGAAATCCCTCGCTGCAAGGAAAATGTTTCAAAATAATTTTTAAGTGTTTGCTTACTTTTATGAGTTATAATCATGTATCTTTATCCATACAAACCCACTAGTTTATATAGTCAAGCATTAGTGAAACATTAAAATTATTTTCTATTGGTTGCCAGGGAAGCAAAGCTTCAGGCTAGAAATGAACAGCTTGGGGCACAAAAACAATACGTAATACAAAAGATTACTTCACCAGTGGAAGTATAATGTAATATATTATTATAAAATTGATACTGGAAATTGGGAAAGCCAAATTTGTAAATGGAACCTTTCCAAAGGCTGAAGCTACCCACGCTGAATGTTCTTTTGATACCAGCCATACAGATAACCAAAGGATGGCCTTACTCTCCTTCTTCCCATGTACAGCCACTCATGTGAAGGGAGAGAGTCCTCAGTAATGTGTAAGTTCCGACTAGACTAACTCAGAGCTAAAGCTAGACATACGCCAGTATAATTTATTTCTGAAAAAAAAATTCAGAATGTTTGTTGTATTTTTTTAAAGTTAATGAAGTCAAATTAATCATCAAATTGAACGCAGCGGAGAAAAAAAATCGAAAGAGCAGGATTTCAAATTTTTCTCGATCAAACAAAATTTGAACAGTGAATGTGGTTTTCCCTCAAAAAACTCAATTGATCTTAAAAAAGGAACATTAAAACCAAACAAAATTTTTACTGACATTCAAGTCTCTGATGGCATTATCGAATGATCTGAGAAGATTTTTCATATGAACTTTCATACAAAAATCTACCAGCGTATGGCCAGCTAAAGCCCTGACCCCATAGTTCTCCTTTAAAGCACACTTGTTACTTGAATAATGCTGTTTAATATCGCTTATATTCCTAATATATGTGAGCACTTGTTATTACAGGATAGTAGAGAGGAACTAAAAAAAAATGACTTTAGATAATCAAGGGGTGATAATTAGATAGCTAGTGGCAACAGCCCTGAATACATAAATCTTCATAAACTCCATTGAAAAGTATATTTAACACGCCATGCTTAACGTACACAAAATGTTCTCTGTACAGGCCTATTCTTAACAGTACAGACTCATATGACAGAGTTCCCCTTCTTCTATCAGTGTTTAATTTTCCTTTATCCAACAACCCTCCTATAGAGAAGTTTGATGGCCTTGCATATTTTTCAGCCACACTAGCTAAATTACTGCCTGCATTGTCTGCTACTATTAAATGTTCTATGTGTCATCGTGCCAACTAGAGAAAAAGTTCTACATTATAAATTAAAATAATAGAAACTAATAATGAAAAACAGCTCATTCAGTTTGGGATACATTTATCTGCAGTTTGCGGTTGGAACAATGGAAATATAGTGTAAAGATTTATGGCAGAATGCTGAACGCTAAGAAATGGATAACAAGAGAGTACATTGTCCAAAGTTAAAAGCAGGTGGCAAAGTGCTGTGTGAGTTTTTGTTACTGACCAGTTTTATTTCACAACTATATTACAAATCATCTTCACGTCACAGTGATAAGATATCAGGAAACAATTCAGAATATGTTAAAAAAAGACACACAGGCAAGGCACAAATTATTTGAATCTAATAGTAAAGATTTTTTTGGCAGAATGCTGAATTCTAAGAAACTAAGACAGTACATTGTCCAAAGTTAAAGGAGAACTATGGGGTCAGTGTTTTTCCCCATAGTTCTCCTTAGGGTAACGGGAGGACACAATCTAGCGTCCTCCCGTTACCCTAAGCTCAGTATACTGCGACCTACAGCTCGCGGTATACTGAGACGCCGCAGCCAGAGCGGATCCCGACTTAGACGACGGGATCCGCCCAGCTGCGTGAGTGACAGCTGGCTCTGCCTATCTGGAGGCAGAGCCAGCTGTACCTGCCCCCTCCCCCGTCCGTTCCGCCAGTCAGCGCTGGCAGAT